TCCGTCCTGCATGCGGGAGTCATCGGGAGCCGTTGCCGTTCTCTGATCTCCAGATTTGGGTGCCTTGTGAAACTGCAGGGAGTTGTTCCACGGACTCAATGACTGGCTAATCCGGGCGCCCTCAAGACAGGCTAGTCTGAGAGGCCTTTTCCCTGTCGCGTTCCTCGCGTTGTCTCCAGGTGCAGACGTTTTCACTTGTGCTCTGTTCATGTCAGTCTTAGCTTTCTGTTACGGTTCTGCACACTTCCACCGAAGGGAGGATGTTGTGGTGTAAAAGGAAGTTTATGCGGAGGAGACACGTGGCGGTGCGCTTACCAAAGCAGCTCGTTTCTATCAGGGTCTGTCCCAAACGTAGACTTTGCCTGGCTCTTGAGAGCTGGGATTCACTGCCCTGCTGTGTGTTTCCGCTGCTCGGGGCAGAAAAGGTTTTTGCCGCTCATCCGAGGGTGGGCGAACGGCTGGGTGCATTCGTAGCCCCTGAGACTCACTGGGGATACTGTCGTGGATTTCATCTCCTTCCTTTCTGTCTCCGCAGTTAGCTTTCTTCGGAGTGGTACCAAGCTCATCTTCCGGAGAAGGAGCAAGCAGAAAGAAGCGGGCCTGAGCCAGTCGCACGATGACTTATCCAACGTCACTGCCAACTCTGCAGCCAGGAAGAAAGCCGGCAGTTTCTCCCGACGCCTCATCAAGCGCTTCTCCCTCAAGTCTAAATCCAAACCCAAAGCTAGCGACAGCACAACAGCAGCAGAGAACTGAAGGAGGGAGAAGCCTGTCAGAAAGACTGCGCAGAGATCCTTTTCTAGTCTCGTCTTCCCACTCTGTGGTATCTGTGACCTGCAGTCTGGTTCCCTCTGACCTCGGCTGAGGGAAGACACCCCAGCGCTTTAGGCCATTTGGGGAGCGGAGGTGGCGAACCCGGGGCTTAGGCTGCTTGTCTGCCTTGGCTTAGCCTTCTCCGACTGTCGTACCCCTCCGCGCTCTCCCTGAAAATCCAGGCGGCACGCTAATCCCCGCGGGGTTCCGAGGAGCCGCAGAAGCGACGCTGCTTGCGTAGCTGTCTTCGCCGGGTACGTCCCGGAAAGAGGTGGGGGGTGCCTCTCGAGCAGCAACCCTCTGAGTTAAAAATTGAGAAACTACCAGGTTAGCTCCGTCGCAGAGGTGCGTGGGACGTAGCCTCGCTCAGCTTTTCTAGCGAGAGAGAATGATGCGGTCAATGGCCGTCTAAACGGTCTCGTTGCCTCTGCTCAGTGCAGAGGCGGTAACCTGACTGAGGTACGGTGTGCGGCGGCGCGGTCCTGGGCTGGGAGCTGGCCGGAGAATGAGCTGCGGTTCTCCACCCGGCTCTGCCGTCGGAACGGTCTCCGGTTCAGACAGTGCTGAGGGGTGCCGGCTTTCTGGGGTATGCTGATGAAGGCAGGAGTCTCGAAGAAGGAAGTTTTAACCATTGGGTGAGTTTTTGTAGAAGCCCCGGCACTTGTGAGAACGTCTGGCCGGTGCTGTCGGTGCTGCCGCCCCGTGACCCAGACCTCCTTCCCCATTTGTGTTCTCGAATGGGAAAGGGGCTGTGTGAGTGGAACTCTGACCCTTGGAGGCAGTTCGGGGCATTGCTGGTGGAGTATTGGGCCGTCTTCCGGACCCGCGGAGCACCCGGCCTCCCACATTCTCACGGTTCTCACGCAGAGGACCGGCACTGCGCAGGGGGCTGACGTCGAAGAACGTGGCGACGCTAGTGGAAGGGCACTTTCACGTGGAGCCTGATGCCACGTGACGGAAAGAGGCAAGAGTTTACACGTCTTCACTGTTGAAAGGATTCCGTATAGTAGAAGGAGCCTTTCTTGATTGCATATGGTATTTCCTTTATTCTAACAAACCCTATCCACCACGTTAAAACACTGGGCATTAATGCAGTGGGTATTTGCAGAGGGAGAGGCACGCAGGGGAAAATCACCTCCTCGCGAGGGAGGAGACCGCCCTTCTAGACGAACGGTTTTCCTGTCTCCTGACACGCACGCATTGCGAATATCCCCGGAGGCCCTGTTCACATAGCGTAGTGATGCTCTTTGGAGAAACGCTCGTGCCCTGTCAGCACGCCTGGTTTGAGCAGAAGCTGCCACTCTCCTGTGGGTTGTTGGTTTAAGGAGATGGGGCAAAGGGGAGGAAAAAACTCACTGAAGAGCAGCGATCGCCTAGGCCTGGCTGGATTCGCTAGCTCTGCTCTCCTGTTTCGATACCTCCTGAGGTGGGTGCCGTCCCCTCGCGTTATGCAGGATGTGACCGACCGAAAAGGGAGTTGTTCTCTCGATGGTGCGCATAAAACAACATGTGTTTTTCAGAAGGACAAAACCCGGTTTACCGATACGGCCGTTGTGTGCCAGTTCCAAAGATCGGTATGCCGCTGCGAAAGGATTTAGAGGCGGGGATTTTAGCGGGCCCCTTGGAAGGGGCTGGGG